TTGGATACTGGAAGCTGAATTTCTAGCTCCCGAAGGGCCGATCAGCAGATCTGGAGCAACGCTGTGAAGGACATCCAACGATGTGCGAAGGAAACGCTGGGGAAAACTCGGGGTGGATTCCGAGAAGACAAGAAAGCATGGTTCTGAAACGATGAGGTCTAGCGACTTGTGAGGCAGGAGAAATCGGCCCACAAACGTTGGCAGAGGAGTTGAGCCTCCAGGATTTAGCTGTCTGTAGAACTTCCAAGAGGCTTGCCAATGCTGCAATAGCGAGGGCAAGGAACAAAATGGACGTCTTTGTGGGAAATTTGACAGTCGAGAAGGAAAAAAGTTCGTCTTCCACCTTGGGAAAGCGCGTAACCGGGCCACTCAGGACATCGAGGTAATGAAGTTCGTCAGGAACAGAGAAGGTGCATTGCTGAGGAGGCCTGTCGGGTCAGGCATAGACGGAAGGGAAACTTCGACAGGCTTCTAGACGAAGAACACGCCTGTAAGAACAGCTTCAAGTTAGTGGGAACGGCTGGCTCCATCAAACCCTGGACAGGGGATGAGGTGCGCAGAGCGATAGGAAAGAGGAAGGTTGGGAAGGCACCTGGTTCGGATGGGATGCCGATCAAAACATGGGAAGCGATCGGAGGGCACGGGTTAAAGAGGCTCACCCGATTCCTGAACACTGTGACCATTAAAAGTACAGTTCACGATAACTTCGTGTATCCCAGATTATGACGAAAAATGGAAGATAATGTGGAAAATAGTGCGACGGAGGCGAAGGAACTGTGTGGATCGGTGTTCCCGAAGTGAACAAGTGCTTCGAAAAACCGTTAAAAAGGGGGCTTGACGAGTATGAAACCGGAAAAATGAAGAAGAGTGGGATGTCCGGACGAGCTAAACAGTGTGTTTTACTGCGCGCGTGTGGGTCCTGGTGCGAATAACAGACAATGTTAAGCAAACAGCTCATTCACTTATAAGCATAACTAAACAAAGAAAACCCTAGTAACAGCAAAAGTAGCTCACTTTTTTCAGCCTCTAGGAGTAGGAAATTAAATAAGGGATCGCGGCAGCAAAAAGAAAAACAGAGGAAAAAAATGTGAGAAAAACATCGCCTCATCGCTCGGCGATTAGCTGATTGTGCGTGGGTCTTAGAACGAATATTCGCAATCTGTATTGCCTCGACACTCGTCTGACGTGACATAGATCAAGAGGCTGGAAAGCGAATCAAGACAGCAGCAGAGCTCCCATTATGGCTTCACCGTCGAGATTTTGGGGGCGAGAGGGACCCTTCTACCACCCATGGGGGCTACTAAGTATTCCTTAGGGAAGAACTCAGTGACCATTTTTATCTTAACCGTGACTTTTAGGAAGAATCCCAAATGCGTGGAGGAGCAGTACTGTCGTTCTCATCTTCAAGCAGAAAGGGGGCGCGATGGAGCGTTCCAATACAGGGGATCGGGTTGGCTGCTCCCACGATGAAACTGTACGAATGGCTGGTCGGCTCAAGATTGAGGGAATTGCTCCCGATCTCACAGAAGCAGTTCTGCTTGATGCCTGAAATGTCCACAACGGATGCCATATTCATAGCTAGACAAGTTATGGAGAAGTATCGAGAAAAGCTTGGACCCTGCTACGTCACCTTTCTCGATCTGGAAGTGCATTCAACCGTCTCCCGCGACAAGTCCGCTGGAGAGCGCTCCGAAAACGAAAGGTTCCAGAGCAAATGATCTCTTTGATCAAGGACGTGTACGAGGGCTCCAATACAATACACACTCCACACGGCCAAACCGAAGCAATAGATGTCACTGTTGGGGTACACCGAGGGTCAGCTCTGAGCCCGTTCCTCTTTCTGCTTGCGATGAACGTCGTTACAGAAGAACTCGTGGATGGCTACTAAAGGCTATTCTCTACGCTGATGACATCGCTCTGCTAGCGGAAAGCAGGGAAGAACTTCAGAACAAGCTGCAGAAATGGCAGGAAACGTTGACGGATAATGACATCTGCTGAACGTGAAGAAGACCAATTTCCTGAGCTCCGAGGAGTGCGCGAAGTCAATCGTTCACGGTCACGGTGAAGTCATCGGAAAAGTTCCAGGACTTCCGATGACTGATCTAGCCGCTGATGTTAGCGTGGACTAGGCCGTAAAATCCCGAATAAACGCAGGCGGGACGCTTATGTTTTGGCATTGCAGCCACTCATTCGTTGTACGGCTCACGTGAATGGCGGCGTTGTCTTGTTGAATGACATAGTTAAGGTGGCGGCGACGGTTCAGAAGGGGTACTAGACGATGTTCCAAAACGTTCTAGTAATTCTTGGAATCCATTCTGCAGCTCACGAATGGTTGATCCAACACGACATTGTTGCAGAATGCACCTCACACCATAAGACTTCCTCCACCGCAATTGCGGCGGATGAAGTAGACTGGTTCTTTCTCTAAGTCGCGCCAGTAGTACTTGTTTCCTTCAAGACCGTCCAAGTTGAATTTCTTTTCATCCAAAAAGACGACCTGAATAGGAATTATCCAGCTCTATGGTGAGATTTTGATGCAGATCTACCTTTGCCCAATCTCTCCCTAGGTTCAACTTTGCAAATCCGAGTCGAGCCTCTTTGTGACGATCGGTGATCCGTGACACCTCCTCCATTGCTTGCCTGGTGATGTTCTCACATCGTCTTACTGCTCTTCAGCCTGTAGTTTTCGACACAGAGGGGTTTCATTCCGATCGGATCTGGTTCAAGGAGGACGTACTGCAGGAAACAACCCTCGGAATCTTCCGCTCGTCACGGCAGTAAACTTGCGTGGGCGTCCACAGCTGGTGTTACATGTAGAGACATCAGGGCTCTCCAGAAATCTTTGGATGGAGCAGAGGGATCTCCCTGTTTGCCTGGAGATGGCTCGCTCACTGAGCCCAGCCTCATGCTGAGCCCAAATTCGAGCCTTTTTATTAGAGGAACACTAGCCATGTTGACAGTCAAGTTTAGAGGTGCGTTTGCTACATATGCTTACCTTTATAAGTATCTTGAAAGGCGAAGTTTCTTCTCCTCCACGAATAATTCCCCCAATAGCGCAGATAGAGGTCTTTTGCTCTCGACCTGATCGCTTGTGGCACACAGGTATCCTCTCTATTTCTTACCAACCGTCCTTTAGTTTCTTTCTGGGACTCCAAACACGACAGGTCCTCTTCTAATCAGGGAGCATACGGGGGAGTCAAGTTCTGGAAAATAGGATGGCCATTACTTTTTATCGATGCGGGCAGCTGTCGTAGGCACCACTCGCGGGCAGGCTTGGCTCTGTGGGCTAGAGCAGCGTCTTGCTGGAAGGGCTACGAGATGTACCAAGAAACGTAGACAGATCGCTCTTTTATTACGTCCATCAGTACACTCTTTGAGCCCTGGTCTCGGTCAATTTTCACGCCGGCATCGAAGAAACCACGAGCGTCTCACCCTTGCCAGTGACTTCTTCAAAAATCATCATTTTACTGTTCTTATAGCAACCTTTTCGAGAGAGATTGCACGTCAGGTGTTTCTTCCTGGAACGTGAACGTTTCAATGGTTGAGGGATGGTCTTATCGTAAAAAATGTCTTGGCCAGAGAAAACGATGAAGTATTGCGTGTCATCACTCAAGTGGGTCTGCGACTTCCTGCATTTTTGGCCCTGCAGTCTCTGTTGAGATCGGAATTGAAGAGAAATTTCTGCGTACGATAGGAATGGCAGTGAAGCGTTTGAATGACATCCTTCCATCGCGATAACTCCGATTGGCCGTGCCCGTTGACTTCCTTTTTATGAGTTACCCATGATCACGACCGACAGGCAGACGACCATTTAAAGAGTCCTATCTTCAGAAAATTTGATTTGTCTCTGATTCAGTCTTCTTTTCTATATCGTTTGATAGCCTCCTATACGATTAATATAAAAATCCCAGAGCATTTCATACTGCCCTTCCACCTCTCGCGTGTTAATGATTGCAAGTGGCACTGAATGAGTCTCTTCCATCTAAAAGATATTGTGAGTTCCACATCAGTAGCCATGCATATTGCAAGGGAACCTTCTTATGCAACTAATTAGTAGCAGTTAATGTGAATTTGATAGATTATCACTACCTTAAAAATTTCTGGATTTTGGCGCACATAGTTTTGGGACACCCTGTATTGTATTCTTTTCAATAACATCATTTGCTATGCGTAAATAACTCTTTGGTTCCTCCTTTTTCCTTGAGAGCTCTACACCGTCAGATTAACTCCGAATCGGGAACGATTTTTTCTATAAGCCATCTTTGCTGTGTCCGGTAAGAACATCGTATAATATCACAGAGGCGATTATTCAGAGAAAAACAGGACAGACGTGCTAAGGAAGCGTACCTTCGTGAAATTTTCGTGCAATACTTTGAACGCCTTATGGCCAAACCCTGCCCCTGTGGGCGAGGTCCTTTCCTGCCACGTATAATAAGTGTTCCCATCCTGACGCCTGTACTCCTACCAAGTTTGAACGCTCTAAGGCAAAATTGAAAGTTTTCGCGTAATCGCCGCTTCTATGGGCGGCGTCTGGTCCTGCCACCTACAGTGAGTGTTCCCATCCTGTTCCCTTTACTCCTACCAAATTTGAACGTTCTAGGTCGACGGGGACAGTAGTTATGAATTTTCGCTCAAACCCCGCCCTCTGTGGGCAGAGTACGGTCCTGCTCCTCACCATGTTTCCATCCTACTGCCTGAACTCCTACTGAATTTGAACGCTCTAGGTGCATGGGAACAGAGGTTATGAATTTTCGCTCAAACCCCGCCCATTGTGGGCGGAGTCTGGTCCTGCCACCCACCATTAGTGTTCTGATCCTGTCTCCGTACTGATAGCGAGTTTGAGTGCTATAGGATTACGGGGACATGAGTTCTGAGTTTCTGATCGAACACTTATTAGCTGCTTTCATAGTCCGCCGGCGTGCGAGCCGAAGCAGTGCTAGGGGGGAGGAGGGAGGCAGACAGTCGGCCAGCCCCTTCGAAGGGCTGTAAACAACGAGAGACAAGATCAAAAATCAAACAACCAAGGGCTTGTACAAATGGTTTTTGATCTTGTCTCTCGTTGTTTACAGCCCTTCGAAGGGGCTGGCCGACTGTCTGCCTCCCTCCTCCCCCTAGCACTGCCTCGGCTGGCACGCCGGCCGGCCGGCTGACTATGAAAGCAGCCATTTCTCACGAACCCCGCCCCTTTTGGGCGGAATCCGGTCCTGCCACCCACTAAAAGTGTTCCCATCCTGCCGCCTGTGCTCCTACCATATTTGAACGCTCTAAGTTCAATTTTAAGTTACTCGCATAAACCCCGCCCCTTGTGGGCGGAGTCCGCTCCTGATGCCCACCATAAGTGTTCCCATCCTGCCGCCTGTACCTCTACCAAATTTGAACGCATTAGGTCCACGGGGACAGAAGTTATGAATTTCCGGTCAGACACACACACAAACACACAAACACGCCAACAGACATACTTAGCCGATTATATAAATAGGATCATCAGAAACCCTGATTTGTCTCTGATTCAGTCTTCTTTTCTATATCGTTTGACAGCCTCCTATACGGTTATTATAAGAATCCCAAAGAATTTCATAACGCCCTTCCACCTCTAGCGTGTCAATGATTGCAAGTGGCATTGAATGAGCCTCCTCCGTCTAAAAGGTTTTGGGAGTTCCACATCAGTAAGCATGCATATTGCAAGGAAACCTTCTGCAACTAATTACTAGCAGGTAATGTGAATTTGATAGATTATTTCTAACTGGGAAATTTCTGAATTCCAGCACCCATAATTTTGGGACATTCTGTATAATTATGAAACTGCAAAAAGCGATAAACCGCTTTGAAAAAGTTCAGAAAAATGCAGCTGCTGCTAAGGAACGGGTACGTGGTGGTGGATCCGCTCATGATGCTAGAAAAATCCTGAATGATTGCCTCTTCTGAAAGTGCAAAATTTGAGGGTGACCTTGTAACTATAAAACGCACTGTACATATACATACACATATACTTATACATATGCATAAACATAAATATACACATATACATATACATATACATATACATATACATGTACGTATACATATACATATACATATGCATATACATACACCTACACATACACATGCACATATACATACATACACATGTGCATATACATATACATACACATACATACACATGTGCATGCACATATATTAGGTTGATGCATAAGTTTTCTGCTCTCTCTTCTCCTTTTCTTCCTAAGTCTCCTTTCTTTAATTTGGCGAACTAAGTCTTCCATGTGCGGTAAGAGATGACGTCCTCGCGGTATGTTTCCGCTAGCTTGGAATGGGCTTCCTTTGCATTCCGGCCGAAATCGTGAAGCAAAACCAGGCTGTGGCGCAGGTACATTCTATCTCTATCACAATGGTAATTGTGCGGCATTGTGGCCTGCAAATTTAGGATGGGCGAGTTGTGGCTAGCGCGGTGAAAGAGTATCATGCAGACGTCACGCACACATGATGACGGAGTACCAACATCCATGCAAACAAAATACGGAAGGATATATCAGGGGGAAGAACTTATGCATCAACCTGATACATGCACATACGTACACATGCGTACGCATATGCACTCACATACGTACACATACGCATTCACATATACACACACATTCATGTACATATAGTTTCAGAGCAAAAAACAAATTGTACTCGGACCAAGCGAGGCCTGATGAATAAGGAGGGTGGGGCAGTACTTCCTATCCAACTTCGGCAATTTTCTGATGAGACAGTTTCGCGGCAAACGGTCGGGCGCTGTCGTGAAGAAGACAAACATCTGCTCGCTGAGGACGCTCCTTTTGAATAAACTCGGCCAAACCTGTAGCTGAGAAGCGGAATCACGGCGGTCAGTGTAGAACCCTCAGAAAGTTATTCAAAGTAGTGCGTTCCCTGGGAACTCGCCAACAACACAACCGTTTTTGAATGGTAGTTCGTCACGAGGCACCCGTTGGTTGAGATACGATATCTCTTCTGAGTGTTCCGCAGATATCTGCGAAAGTCGTCGATGGATTATACCTTACAAAAATTCGTAATCGACGATAGCACGCAGAAAGCTTCCTTCGATCGACAGTTGAAGATTGAAGTAATAATTGCGGAACACTAACAAGGGTATGCTCCTATATTTCCTGAAGTGCGGGATCGGGAATGGTCTACCATAACTTATTACGAAATCTTTCCAAATGGTCCGGGCGAGTGGCGATCTGTCATACATACACGGTCAAGGGTTCGAATTTTGTAGCGATATCCGCCTATGCCAACCAAGTTGTGCCAGACGCGTTTGGGAGAATAAAAGCACTGACTTGTACATCAGCTCGACATCTCAAGTTGTTGTACGGACCATAAACGCATTCGAATAGCCTCCTAGGCTTTTGAATAAAAGTCGAATGCGGAACGCATACTCACAGAGAAGTTCTTTCAGGGCGTGTGACGCTTTTGGGAAATGGTTTTTTGCATGGTGTACTTCAACTTGTTTCATTACGTGGCTCCCTTTTTTGGCTACCGTTCACGTTATTTTCAATGTGCCGTCCACTGGCGCCTTCCACTGTGCGGACAGTCGACACCATGCAGGAAACAAACGACGCCTAGTGGGTTAAAACGGCAATTTTTGACA